ATTTGTGTCTGAAAACACTTCTTCTAGTGGAAATCGACTTCAAGGTAATTTTTGCTTGTAAAATGGATCTGGTTTGTGCGTGGGGGCTTCAAAAGTGTTATTTTATAATCAAAAAAATAATTTAAAAAAAAAAACGATATTGTTTTTTTTTTTGGAAATCAACAACGAATTGTACAGCCGTGAAGTTTTTAGTAAATATTGTATGTAAAATGCTTTTCTATAAAATTATTGAATTTTTTTAAAATATTATGTTGGATATTTTTTTAGCTATTTAGACTTTTGACTTTTTTGGTTTTTATTTGACATATTATAGATAAAGTAAACGATTTTATTATTTCTAACTTTTATCCTTAATACAAGGTTTCTAACATTCGTTTTTTAAAGTAATTAATAATTAATATCAAACACTTAATAATTATTGTTCTCGTCGTAAAATGTACGCGGGCATTAGGTCAAGTTTGTTCTGCTAAATACGTCAAACCGCGTCGTTCGCTGTAACTATCTTGGTCGCATTTTCTTTTCACCTATTTCGAGTATTGTCGACTTTGTACAAATTCTGAAAAGGCTATTAAATAATTCAATATCATGTACAAATACTAATTCATACTCTGTTTTACAAATGGCACTATTCTGAAAACTATTTTAACTGCCTGTGCATTTTAATTTAAATGCCTTTGATGTATTATAAATATTATGGCCGTGTTGGACTATTTCACGCGTCGTTAATACCCATGTCAATAAATATTAATTGTTTTTCTACGAAACTGTAATAATAATAATATTATATTCCATAAAATACCGAACATTATTTTTTTTTCCATCTAAGTCAATGTACCATGCATATACCTGTAAATTAAGTATGAATACTAGTATACAAGTAGAATGCTAACATTTTCAGAATTTTTTTTTTTATTAGTGTGTACAAGTCTGTGGGTAGTAAGTCATGTATATGATATTTAGATAAATTGTCAATAACTGTTACACTACTTGATTATTGCAAAAAATCGAATGATGTTATTTATTTATTTATTTTTTTTGAATTAAGCTGCGGCAACTATGGCCATTGGCAACAAAGAGTATAACTCTAAATTATTTACATGTTATATAAGTTACATATTAAATACTATTGATAAGGTTGGACTTAATAATAAAGGTTATCATGTGTCTTATGTTGTCTGGGTGGAGGGCTTCTGACAGAATGTTTGAAATGCCTGTTTCTCGTCTAACCGTTTCTTATGAAAGGCATTCAGTTATGATGTGTTTGATTGAGAAAGGAGTAGGTCTTCCTCCTTCATCAGATACTGGTGGGTTATCGATGTATGTCCCATACGAATTCTGTTAAATTATGTTATTATTGACCTCATTGAGACGCATTTCCCGAGAAATTAATGATATTGTCCATCGAATTTCAAATTCATAATTTTTTATGGAATTGTATTGTATAATATAAACAATTGCGTTAAATCCGGATGAAAATAAATCTCACCTATTTTTGCCGGAAATTCTTTGGCGTCTTATTCGAACAAGTTCTTAAGTCACAAACCATGTTTGTATATTCTCAAAGGAGTGTAATGCCTATAATTAACCTTAGTTTGCACCGACCTGGAAGGAAGTAACGTTTTAAGTGGTCGAGGTAGAAGATTTGTTTTCCCAGTCTGTCACTCGCGTAACGTATAGCCAGATGAATCGTGGTTCGTACTTCCATGATTATTACTCCCAAGTTGAGTTTAAGGTGTAAGTGTACATATATATATTATATAAAGCGAATAATTAAAATGATCGAAAAGAAAAATATTCTTGACTTTTGTTCGATGGTTTATATTTTTCTTACATAGATTTTATTTTTAAACTATTGTTTTTTTAATAAAAATGATTTTTAAATGAATATGTGCCCGTTAAATGTAAATATGTAAAGGTGGATTCAAACTTCGTAGTAAAACTCAATAACTGAATTGTTGGAGTATCAGAATCGTGAGAGTGTAGATGTAATATAATATATTATGCCACTCATGTAAGACAGGCTAACTAAATAATCTATTGTCGTTAAACGAATATCTTAAAATCCGGTTGTAAAGATTAGGGTGCAGTTCGACAAAATATAAAAAAAAGCTTTTATATAATCATATATTATTTTGTTCAGGGTATAATATTTGTTCGGTATTGAACTATGGCTAATGTATGAATAATATTTGAATAAGTGTACGTTACTTTTAAATTCCCCTGACAGATATGCATACAAAACCATCGACTACTATAAAAACCGTTCTAAAAGTAACCGAAAACGATTACTATGTTTGCTATAAGTTGACTACAAACTTTTCGCTATCAGTTGAAGCATTGCATTTTAGAACCACGACTTATAAATAGAAGTAAGAATCATACATCTCGTACAGTAAGCATACAAATCACCGGTGCGATGACACTACATGTGTACTATAAGGTATGTAGCTTAAATAAAGAATTCAAAAGTTGTTAGAATATAGCAACTTTTATAATGTCATTTTTTATTATGCCAACTACAAATAATTTTAATAAACAAATATCATATAATATAAACTGTTCATAATCAATTATAAATTATTAGAGGTTGGATTTATATTCTCTCAAAATCCTTAAAATATGATGTTTTTATGTCACATAAAATAGGCAACATATTCTCTTAATATTCTTTTAAAATACTAGATATACGATTTTTATGTCCTTAAATATGTGAAATATTATTTTAATATTAAAAAAAAAATTCAGGTTAAATTTTTTTTTATTAATTTGGTTTTCATTATATTTAATTAAATTAATTTTCCAATAACAATTAATAACTATTTATTGTTTGATGGATAGTCGCGACAGCTAACGAAATAACCGATGTGCTATAGAAATTGATAAGGAATACTTGGAGATTAATTTTTATTAAAGACCAGAAATAAATCATTTAGTGAACAATGTATTTATCAAAGTGCTGATATACATGAAATATGTTCATTGTATGCCTTATATTAACAAAATATTGTCAAATATTCCCTAACCCTTAAAATATTCTTTTTTATGCAAAATAAATTTTTTCATGTGAATTCTGTGTTTCATGATTCGCGGGTTTTTCTTCCATTTAACTACATAGGCTAGAAACAAATATGTAAAATCATACAAATCCGACCTCTAGTAATCAAAAATTAAATTATTATAGGTAGCTCATTTAGTCATATGAATGTATAAAATATATAAAATAAATAAATAACCTTTATAGCATAAATATAAAAGTATATTATAAAATAATAGTATAATATTTAATAACACAATGTCTCTCAAAAGAAGATACGAAGTCGTAATAAATCGCCTCAGAATAGGTCATACACACCACACACATGGCCACTTTATGAAAAAAGAACCACCAAAAATATGCCTTATACATGCGTATATACAATTTCAATCAAACATAACCTTACCGAATGAAAGAGGCCCGATAAAAAGACATACCGGAACATCTTCACCACACTACTATGTTGTTTTAATTTTATATTTACTAATTTTAATGAAAAAAAAAAACATGTCAAATATGAAGGAGCATCTTGTACGGGGCACAAATTCAGACCATTGAATCTCGATTATCACGTTACTGAATTTAAATGTGGATAAAAAAATATTTAAAAAATAATAGTGTAAACTGTTTAGACGATTTTTCTAGAAGTTGACCAAAACCCATTAATAACATATTATTATGCTGGTTCGAATAATATTTGAATGTTTACGAACGCCATAAGAATGATTGTAGTTATGAAATGAGTGTAAAATGTAAATAATCAAATTTAACAACTGTCACGTCTCTTTCTTACGGTACAGCCGCGATTTCAAAGGGAGTGAATACTTACGTACAATAATAATAATAAATCCGAGCAGCCAACCGTGGCCTAACATCCACCATTATTGTTGCTTTTCTCCCGGAAAAATTGTTTTCCCGGCTCAAGTAGCCGTCCGTCCGAGTGTCGACGTTGCATGTCGAAAATACTATTAAATACAATTTCGAGTATAAAATAACATACATAAACAACAAGTGGTGTGCAATATTTAAATGCACAATACTCGACCATATAATATATATATGTATATACATATAAATATAATTATTAAATATTGATTGTTTTCGAGCAGCTTAGGCGGGGAATAGTTTTCAGTGTACATAATTTTTAATGAGATAAAAACGTTAAGACATAGTATACATTGGACTTCAACGAACCGGGTAACTCTAAAGTCACATTTATTTTAATTAAATTTTAGAAATTTAGCTGTTAGTTGAATAATAATTTGAAATCGATTGTTTTTTATGAAAGGCCGCTGGACTAAATTGACATTCTTTTTTGTTTATTTGTGTTTATTTGTGTTTTTTAATTTTATTGTTTTCAAAATGCCTTTTTTCTAATTATAAATACAAACTACCTAACAGCATTTGCAATTTTATCGAGTACCACATAATATTATGTTTTTTTCAAATATATTATTAAGGCACTCTTAATAAAGGAGTATTTATTAATATTTTCTTTTTTTTTTTTAAATATTTTTCCTGTGTTTGTTCATATTTTTAAAACGTCGATCCCTTTTGGTACCATAATTGTACGTAGCTTTTATTATTATGGCAGTTCACAATTCATTTTATCTCTTCAGTACACGTATGCAAAAGTGAAGACTTAAAATAATAATTACGACCAGTAATCTATTGAGTGTTCATAACGTCAATTTTTTCAGAAAAAAATTCACATTTTGCAATGTATGTGAATTCAAATCAAGTATTTGCAATAACAAAAAAAATCATCTATAGTTTAAAGGTTTAACTTAGGATGTAATTTAAAAAAGGCAAACCTAATCAAAATATGCAACAATGAATTAAAAAATATTATGATTATTTTTAAGACTTTTTTCATAGGATTTTATTTTAAATTTTTGAACTACATATATTATACTATATATAGTTATTGTTCCTGTCAAACATATAAATCCACGACAAAAGTTGTTTTAAATTTATTTTATTTTACTAATAATATCAATATTTTATTATAAATATAAACTAATTTTTTTCATATAACTACTTTGTTTGCTCTCTAAGTACTCATCCTATATGATAATAATAATAATATTAACAATATATTACATAAAATAGTGAAATCACAATGGTTAATTTAACTGCAGATGGTAACATTTAGCTGTGAATAAGAATACATGAAATATTATTATGATAACATTTTTATTTTTAAAATGCTTATTTCGATTCGTTTAAGTTCTCTAAAAATTTCTTTTCGTATTTTCCCTCTGGATCAAAAAATTTGGAAATTTGTTCGTACTCATTTGGACGTCGAGCTTTCATCGCGTCCATAGCTTTTTTCATCATGTTCTTTTGTTCTTTATTACACGATGAACAACTATCTTTGACTAGCATAGGTACCATTTCTGAAAAAAATCCAAACATACAAATTAGTATTATGCAACTGTAAATTACGCTAATTTTTTCGAAGACGGATAGATATGCTAAAGAGAAAACAATGGATGATGTCCATCTACTCAACGGATATAATGAGTTAGTTTCTTAGTAAGAATCATAATCAACTGGGAATAATATAGTACCTACACGACTTCTGATTTTGACAAAGAATAATTTTTTACCACAATGGTTAATAGTTATAAGAAACAATAATAGATTATCAACTTGGTACTGAAATCGAAGGCATACACATATTTAAATATCGACGTTAATATCGTACGTTTAAAAATCTACCAATCGAAATTGTATTTAAAAAAAAATCATCACATTATCCAGGGTTGTCACTTCCAGAAATTTTGGAGAAGATTCAGGGAATACAAAAACTGGCAAAAATTACAACTTTTTTTAATAATTATTTTTTTCTCTTGTTATCAAAATGCATTTATGTCTCTTAATTAATGTATTTTTTTTATATGTATAACTATATTAATTTATGTATTTTACAAATTTATAAATGCATTATAAAATTCTACTTTACAAAAGGATAGTTGTTATATTTATGTCCATTATTAGGTCCATGATTATGTTTTTAGCAGAAAAAAAATAGTAATTTTGTTCAGAGTAAGTACTCACCTATACAGCTAATGGATATATATATATATAAAGATAGTACTCAACTACTGATGAAACCTTTTTAAGTAGTTTTTAGATTCTGAGGGCAGAAAGGAAAATAAAAAAAAATCGAAAAAGTCACAAAAATTCTTTGTTGATACCTTTGACAGTGATATTTTGAATGTTTAAAACTGTTGACAATTTTAAAGAAGTAATTAAAGGCTCATTTATATTTAATACATTGTATTTAATTTACCCTTAATTATTATTAACAGTTATCAAAATATATTTGTTGAAATAAATTGTTATTTAGTACCTACCTACAATAATAAATAATATTAAATCTTGTGTTTGTTCATTGTGTTTTGTTAATACCTTACGAACAAGAGAATTACAATGGGACCCATTGATGTCAACAATATAGCTTGAATTCTGCCTGATACGTCGATAGTAAACAATATATTATATCCCAATTCTAGAAACCTTTTTTTTTATGTTTATAAGCAGTGTAGTAATTGTGCATTTTTAAATGGAAATTTCGAAAAATACTTGAATATTTAAATTAAGAACACTATTATTTAGCTTTATGACCAGTAGGCTATAATTATTCATTCTTGAAATTACTGAACGATTTCCTTGAATTTCCACACGTTTTGCGAATTTTTCATCCCTACATATTATAGCAATTATGTAGAGGTTTTTTTTTTATTTACTACTTTATTACTATATTAACTAAAATAACAATTTTTCGAACATAAATCAAGTAATGAATTGTATTATTGTCGAAGATCACACGATTGAAGTATGACCTTTGTTTATTTTGAATGCATATACGTTTCCGTAACAAACTACCACAATGTCTCATAAATATAATAACCGTAAAAATGATGAGAATATAGTCTTTTTGAGTTAAACGTGTGCAGTTTTAATACCCAGCTGAACAAGCTTTGCATACTTATATAATCCCCTTTATTATATTATCGTGTATATACATAAAATATTACATAGGTAGTACATAAAACCGGCAACAGTTCAGTTTAATTTTTGATTACTTTTGCTGTGTCACATAATCTATATTGGAGGCACAGGGTATTATAAATTATTAATTTTGTGATAATTCACTGAATCTTTATTTAGTGAAAAATATTAATCCGAATATTATTATTGTTAGGTATTATACTCGCCGTAAAATCTTACCAATAATCGTATTAAATGTTGACATTTTTTTCATAAAACATTAATTTTACGACGCGGTTCCGTTAACACGATATTAATGCAATATATAACATGGTTAACCATAATGATGTGTACCCCTACCCCATCAAGTTAAATAACAATAGTGTTCATATCAAGTGACAAATTGTAATAATAGTAACTACACTCAGTGGACGTGTTACACGATCAATCTCGGTAATCAATCATCTTAACTACTGAGCGAGTTTTTAATCATGTGAATATTAAACAAATGGAACTTTTTACAATCGATTAAATAGAGTTTAAAACGTCTATCGGAGTTTTGTTTTTCTCTTAATACAAGAGTTACGTCTAGCGTAAAGATCAGTATAAGAAGTTGTGTACAAGTATAAAAGTAGGATCCCGTCCGGGTCGTTAGCCAATAACAAGCGAAATGTCTTTGCTTGTTCATTCGAGTTTGCCCTAAACTTCTCCTAGGTTGAGAATTGGAACTGCAAAACTGTTAGTTTACTATTCGTTCGTTGCGTATCTAAACATTCCGTACTACATAATAACGGTTTTATACTGAATTTGTTTAAACTTTGAAAAAACAAATCGCGTATTTTTATCCAACCGAATTACATGTTACACTACCGGTATATTTTATTATTCTTTCTTCGATTATTGTGATTGTCGGTTGAACTTAACTACACGAATTCAGTAGGTGATCTCAAACGGTCCACCCAACATCCGGAAAAATTTTCTCATTCAGAGTTAGGTTCACGCAAATCGGAATCCAAAGGTACTATATCTTAAAAAATGAACATTTTCAGTAGAGAAATTTTAAACTTCATACTGTAATGTCTCCCTGCGTAATTAACCGTTTTTAATGATTGTCAAATCTTAAAATTATCAAAGTGTTGCTCTGCGTTAATCGTTGAAATTTGTTTTTATTCTCACTAAAACTTAACATAAAAATAAAAAAACCAAAAGTATCAAAAATATATGTTCCACAGATAGAAGCTTTTGATTGTACTTTATTCTGAATTAGATGTAGGTTTTTAGTATGATGTTACCAATTTTAAAAAATACAAAAATTGACATCGAATTTTTTTTTAATTAGATAACTTAATTTATAACTTTATAAGACGTTTTTTTGCCTGTAGATATCAAATCAGTGACGGATTTTAACGTACCTAGTAAACGTTCCTATGTTTTTGTATGTTTTTAATTTGTTACTAAATCGACACCCTACAACTTGATTTATTAAATGTTACTAAAATAAGTGGTCTTTTGATTATCTTGTCAATACAAATTATCGAATTTAAATAATATTATGTTTACAGCAAACCGTAATGATTGATGACTAAAATGTCAGTATATTGAAATATTTATTGGCTATGCTTACAAATGGCTTTACATAATTTATTCAAATTATTTATACACTCACAGCTTACGCAATAACCATGCAAAGTTTAACATGAAATATAAATTTACTGAAATGCATATAATATATACTAATTATTACTAAATACACCACATAAATGTGCATATTTCTACTGTATAGTTTATATAGCTACCGAAGTCGTCCCACTTTCAGTAATGACGTGTCACCCGCACTTCACACACTCTTACTTTTCATTTCCCTGAGTTGGCCCGTGCACGGTCCTTCATTCAGAAAGCATTTGACGTTGTTCGACATCAACCTGTTGTTGTTCAGTATTTGGTCGATGTCGACTTTCTCCATCATCGACAAAAATTTTTTGAGCTCCTCCTGGTTGACAGGATGAAGGTCTACGTCCTTGTCAGCCACCTTTGCGGCATCATCATCTCCTTCGGTCACGGAGTACGACACACCCACCACGGACATGAGCACGAACACGGAAACAAACAGTTTTGAGACCATATTGTTATTATATTTCGGTGTACACTTAACTCGCACAGACTACGTTTGCGAGTGTAGAAGAATCTCGGATGAAGTTGAAACAATCTGTAAAATAGCCATACCGTCGCGTGGCCGTATTTATACACACCTTTTATGCGCCAGTCCAATTTTCGAGGTCGAGTGTTGATCATCATCTGGTCCGGACGATGGTGGAAAATTAATCCAATTAAAATCCTATCATCTACGTGGTATTTCACAAAGTTTGATAGGAATCTCGCGACCTCGAGTACACAGATAACAATAATATATAGGTATACCATTTATAATATTCTTGTCGTCCAACACCAATTGCATTAAATTATTTTAATCGTGAGTTGTAATTTATTATTTTTATAAAAAAAATTATATACCTTCATTAGATACGCGAACTAGCTGCACAATACATTTTTCATCCTCCACATAATATGCGTATTATATTATATTTACGCCATGCGCAACGATCGTATAATGAGTCGACTCGATGGCCAATGATAACAGTTTATAATTATAGTAATGTGCAATGAGACTTCCGTTGTGTTGATGATCATGCCGTACCGATCGTTTTACTGTGATAAATAATATAAATTGAAAGTAGTAGTTTTTGGTGTTCTTGACAATTTTTTTATTTTAAAAATACAAACAATAATTTTTGAGTTGTTTATTTTTGTTATTAAACATTTAAATTATTGCATGGCTGAATATACCAGTACGTGACCTTTTCTCAGTTTTATTAGAACATAAAAAAAATATGTATACAAATCGACTTAAAAAACACAATTTACAAACAACGTTTTTAAAATACTTTATAATTGTTTATATTTTGTGCACTAACTACCAAAACAAATTTGGGAAATTAAAACCTTTTTTAATACAAACAAAACATAATTTGTGTGTAAAGTTGGTAGAAATTTTATTTTTTTGTTTCATTTCCTACTTAATTCATAATTATCAATGATTTAAAAATAATCACAGATCATTTTAATTTATTTGGATCAAAAATATTATCCTACTTTTCAATGTGAAATAAAAAAAAAGATGGTTTTAATTTATTTTTAGTTGTATTGATACTACCTTTCTATTTTTAATTTATAATTTATATAATTAACGTAAAAAATATGTTTATTTTAAAAATAATATTATTTATTCATTGCATTGGTAAATAATCATAACATTAAAGTATTCACATACCTATTGTTGATTTATTTGATTTCGACTTTTGGTATTATTAAATATATTATATATTGTAATGTAAACCTACAATTCTAATGTATACATGTTTTTACAAGGATTTATTAAATTCCTTCGAAATTAATTCGATAATTAAAATACATAAAATCATTTTTTTCTTGAGTAAACACAAAAATAATCTAATTATTTGTTAAATAAGTGCTTATAGTAATATATTATAATACATTCCCTTAGATGTTGTTTATGGATTAGTATAGGTACTAAGAAAATTAATTTTCAGTAAAAAAAATTGTATTTTAACATTTTGTTATGTCTTCAATAACAGTGTAAGCACTAAGTAAGAGTATTAACAAATAAATACAAAATTGTGTTAAGGATTATTTAAAAAATTGCCAACCTATCATAAAATAATGCTTAACTCCTTAATATTATTATTGTGTGTGATTAAAATCATCTATTCAAATCACTCTAAATCAAAAAGTAGGTACTTTTAAAATTAAAATAGGTAATAAAGAAATATTTACTATAATATCGCTATGTCACTATTTAAAATCAAATATTTATGAAGTTGTATTCTAGTTTTTAAACTAAATTAAAGCGTAGTATAAATTATTTACTAAGTTATATAACTAGGAACTAAATTTAGTAAAAAAAAGTTAATAATTAATAAGTCAATGAAAATAATTTGTGAATAATATGTATTCATTTTGAAGAGTTCAAGCAACATTGCATTTTAAACTTATATAATTATCGATTTATAAAACTAAAATAAATTTTTTTCTTTGTGATAAATTTTTATATTATATAATAGACAATAGTTGATGCATAATGATGTTACAAAATCATATAATTATTAATTTATCGCAGTTAAAATACTTTTAAACTATTTTAACAATAATAATTATATTTTTGTTTTTTAATAATTACTTCAAAATTAATTAATTAGAAGTTTGTAGTTTCAATTATTGATAAACAAACACAATCTGTCAAGAAATTAATAATTTTTTCTTATTTGTAAAGGCAAGAAAATATTGTAAATAATATTTAGTTTTTATTATTATTTTCGTTTAGATTGAGGTAGTTCAAACTTTGTCGTGATAATATCTTCGATATTTTCTCCTTATAATGTAATAAAAAAACTATAAATAGTTATTTTTTTTTATTTTCATGGGGAACTTTATTTTTATTTTCATGAAACCGATATATATTTTGTTTAAAATCTCAACTGACATTTTATCGGAAGAATCCAATCGAACATTTGAACTGTAAAAATATTATTTTAAATGATATATTATTATAGATTGCCTATACAGAATTCATATTTATTTTTTTAACCTAAAACGCGGACAAAACAGGTTTTTATTCTGGATTTGATATTTTTTTAAACTACCTATCACGCTATACGTAAACATTCAGACTTTGTGATACACTTTTTTGGGGCAGTCTTTATTCTTATGGATTGTTGTAATATATATATATTTTAAATTATTTAGGTATGTAAAAGTATGTAAAAGTATTCAGTTAAAATAAAGTAATATTATCTGAAAATATTTTTTAAGTTACGTAATATGAAACAACAAAACATTATTTTGTTTGGTTAATGAGTGTAAATTATTATGTAACAAAAAAAAATATATTCATGGGTAGGTTATTATTGTCTTTTAAAAAAATATATATTTTGAAATAAGATAAATATTTCAAAAGTAAACAAGCTTCCTTAAAATAATAGATATAATTGGGGTAGCATTTATTAAACATAAAAAGTCCGGAATCTTTTGTCAATTATTATGACAGTATTTTGATATAATGAAACAGTACAAAATGTGATCAATCCTTCAATGTTTTATGTGATAAATTATAATTGGTTTTAATTGTGTAATGACCAATTAAATAAAAAAATTAAGTTATTCTAATTTATGCTATTTTTTTCTTTAACTGGAAATAACATAAAATATACACAAATAAATAATTGCCCTAAAACTAATTTCCGTCAGTTTGAGCGTCTCCGTTTCATTAGCCGGTAATGTAATAAGCGCGACGCCGTTTTGTGCTACTCGGAATACCCTTCTATATTCATCATTATCCAAATGGGACTTGGTAGTATTATCGTTTTAAAATTAAAACTTTAAGTATTATTTAAGTTTATGGGAACTTTTTTTACACACGAGTGTAAAATAATAGGATGAATCTACAGATATAGGTAATATCTTTGTTTATATCGTGTATAACTTACTATTACTTACCGTATAGCCAATATTGGTAGCATTAGTGATACATTACCAGTACACATCTAGTGGTATTAGCTTGAAAATATTATTTAACATTTAATGTCTCAACACAACAAAATTGATGTTTTCTAGGACGTATCACCTGTTACGCAATAACATAAATTTATTATAATAGATAATATTTGTTTTGAATTTATTATTACATCCAAATTATTCAGATATAGCACATGGCTATATAATTCCTTCAAAACAAATGTTCATCAACCATAGTGTACCTACATAAATATTAACAGTCGCATAAAACAATATTATTATGACTATTATCGTCGAAATACCAAAGAATAAGGCAAAAATAGTATTTTTTCGATCATGTTGTATTATTATAGAATATACATAATAGTATAGTAATTTTATAAAAGGTTTAATCTGTTCACTTTAGAATCATTATTTTGTTATAATAGATACATATATATACTTATAACGTTTTGATATAGAAACGAACGTTACAAAAATAAAAATAAATGGTCAGATAAAAATTCATGACCTTCCGGAAAATGTCTTTACAGTACGTAGGTACGTACAAAAAAAAGAAGAAACCAACAGTCAGATGGTTAGGAATTGGGATGGAATAAGAATAAAACGTGAATAACACAATATCGCTAGCTAGATATCGGAGACAGTGAATAGAAAATCGTACCATAACAAAAAAAAAAAACACTTTTGTCGTATCTCTGTTAAAAAACCAAAGAATTCTTTGACAATTTAATAATTACGTTCCATTCAGTGTTTGAACCTTCATTTCAATTTGCAGTCTAGAGTATTTCTTATTCTTTTAATTTAAAATTTCGAATAACTATAATTGTAATCATTAATGGCACCATATAATACCAGTAATTGAACCACTGATTCGTCGTCTAAATATAATTAATAAATTATAATATAAAGCTCTTCATAATATGAGATAATATTTTATGTGGTGTCATGGTGTTTTTTTTTTTTTTACATTTTTCGATCCTTAGTATAAAAAGGTTGTTCGTTGTGATTTTAGTTTGAACTTATGTTTTTGAATACTCAACTGTGCAACGGACCAATACGAACTTTGCCAAGATTCACTTTTCAGTTTCCTTCAATGAAAAAATAATATTATAAATGTGAATATGTGTGCTTAAAAAAAAAATTAAAAACGAGTTTAAAAACATCGAAATTCTCACTTGGAATTTTCAGAGTATATTTTAATTATAACTTAACCACGATAATAATTATAACCGTATGCAATTTATTTTTCAAACTAAAAAGCGAATTTTTTTCAACTTTCAAGTCAAATGATCTCGACGTTGGTTTCGTATACATTGCACAGATTGCACGAACCTGTGTGTAATGTGTAAATGAATATGGTATAATTCAAAATATTATATTTAATACAGCAGGGTGGTCGTTTATTCATATGGTTATTTATTTTTCCAAAATGCGTGGGACAATATCTTTTAAATTATTTTATGTCATATGTGAAAGTAATATTGGTGAATTTTGGAAAGTGTTACTCAACCCCTTACCGTGCCGCATTATGGTTGAAATATGGCAAAATAGGGAAACTTTATTATATTTCGAAATTGTTTCAAATATAACACATAAAGTAAGTAAAATATTAATTATAGAGAATAACGTTATCTGAAAAA